TCACACATTAATATGCCACCGACCAAGCAGCGAGAGCAACTTGGGGTTAAGTGTCTTGCCCAAGGACACATCGGACATGTTGCTGCAGGAGCTGGTGATTGAACCCCTGACCTTCCGGATAGAAGATGACCAGCTCTACCACCTGAGCCGCAGCCGCTACTGTTGAATGATGAACTGTTGAATGTCACAAAACATGTAGCTGCTGAAAAAAAAAAACTCTATTGAAAGGAGTCTGAATGAATGTTTCTGAAATGTAACCTTTTTGATGGATCTGTATACATTTGTTTTAATACGACTTTAAACTACCAGCTTTGTAAGGCGGTATTATGTCACTGTTGAGTTACAACGATTCCAAGTTTAATCCCACTTTGTTGAACTTTAAGAACAGTTTCCTTTTGGATTAATCATTACAGTAATATGGATGACTGTGAATTTTGACATCAATCAACAAGCTGATTCAGCTTGTGGGGGGGAAAGTTTTTTAATATTTCATGATCTAAACAGCTGATTGTCTTTAAACTTGCTGCATGGGAGCTTTCATGCTGCCAATAACAGGACAAATTTAGATCAGATCATCCCATAGAACTTTTTTTCCCCATGGAAACCCTTTGACAGGCTCTGCTGTTCTAATAGGAGAAGACAAACAACTTTCTGTTTTTGTAACATAGGTGCAGAGGTGGAAAGTAGCAAATTAGATTTAGTTGCGTTGATGTAGTTGAATACTTTTTTGATTTAATTGTACTTTTTAAGAAGTTTTACTTTTACGTAAGTAGGTACGTTAAGTTTTGTTTAAGGTTTATTATTTTACTTCACTACATTTTTAATCACAACTGTTAGAGGTAAAAAAAAAAAAAAAAGGCCTAAAAAGGGTTTTAAATGTTGTGTGTCGACTTGTTTTATTTTGTAAAGATTTACCTTAACTTATTAAACAACTTTGAGATTTAAATCCTCCTCTCCTGTTTGCACTACACAAGAGAGAGCCGTTGTTAAAAAAAGTAACTAAAACTTTTACTTAAAGTAAAAACAAGTTACTTTTTACTTTTACTTGAGTGTATTTTTAATCTGGTACTTTTACTTGTGCTTGAGTAAAATTTGATCAAAATAATAGTACTTTTACCTAATTAAAATATTCCAGTACTCTTTCCACCTCTGCATAGGGGTAAGGACACTTTCTATTGAACATTTCAGCATCCAAAGACCACCACTAGAAGGTATTCAATCCCTGAGTAGTTCTTAAGAATGGTGGTGCTTGTTGTACTATAGTAACCGGGTTTAGCCTGGGGAAAAGTAGCATAAGGTCATGTGCTGGTACTAATGAGTCAAAGCCCACTTATGTTGCTCTTAGATTCTCAGAGGCTTTAAAAGTTAACAAAAACACATCATAATGAGCTCTGGAGTTCATATGGAGTCAGTGGAGGTAACTTTAACAGTGTTGACGCTCTCCTATCTGATCCACTTAGAAGTCTTGCAGCTGCAGTTTGTACTGCAGTCAGTTTAAAGAGTTTTGGCCTGAAGCAGCACTACGTTGAGTTATGGCTCTAACTTTATCCAGATGACCTCATTTTTTATTTTTTTTTCACAGGTGAAGGAAACAAGATTGAACAACCCTCTTCCCTTGATTATTACAGCTGGGGTCAGATGTTGACTTTAGATTTAATACACGCTCGCACTCACAGCCAAGCATGAACCGCTGTGTCTCTTGAAGGACTGTGGGACTTTTTCTGGGGTAGATTAATCTTTGAGTGCTTCCTGGTTGGATTTGTATTCCATGTATATACAAGGAAGAGGAGGAGTGGAGATGCTGTATTGTTTTTTTTCAGACAGAGCATGCAGATTCCAGAGAGAGATTTAATCTGAAGCGCTCTGTTGGAGAGATGCTGGGGTTGTTTCAGGAGGAGGAGGGGGCGACTGAGGATGGAGGGATGTTCTACAGTGAACAAAGGAATAACAGAGGTGGGCGTCATACGAGGAGAGAGAGATAGAGTGAGGGCAAAGGAGGGGAGAGAAGAGAGGGGTTATGGGAGTTTGTTGAAGAACTAAGCTGATTTGCAGTCAGAGCATATGTCTTCTGTCTCACTACCTCACAGTCTACTCTCTGTCCTTATGTGCCCTATATCCCTCCATCCCATCCCATCCATCTATCCATCCATATATATCTGTTCTACCGATGTATTAAGAAAGGAGATAAACATAAGAGGTATTACTGAATAATTTGATCTGAAATCCACCTTATTTAATATTTAGTAAAGAGGAGTACTCTTAAAGGCCATTTCTCCTGTATGTGTGTGTGTGTGTGTGTGTGTGTGTGTGTGTGTGTGTGTGTGTGTGTGTGTGTGTGTGTGTGTGTGGGGGGGATTTTCAGTTGGCTGTTGGTCTATAAGAGAAACGCAAATTAATTTCATTCATTATCATCAACCATTTACAGTGTCTTTGCAGAAAATGCAGATTTGAACCAGCTCATGTTGAAGTTTCTTTTGGAATTAATTTAAAACTGCACCTTAAGGAATGTGAATGACTCCATGTTTTTTTTTTCTCTGGAGGTGCTGATATGTCCCGTGTCCGAGTTGGAGTGAAATTTATCTGTTTTTCTAACTGATGGAGGTGGCGCCAGTCTCTGCAGGGTCATAAAACACTCTCGGCCTTACCGCCCTGTGGTCAGTCCAAACGGACAGGTTATTTCCCTCTGAGATTTACTCTACAGGATGAAAGTCTAAACAACATGTTTTAGCAGGAAAAGATTGAGTTCCTCTTGTGCTGAGACCAGATGTGGGATCTTGTGGGGTCCAAAGATCTCGGAAGCTGTGGAACCAAAGTTCTGGGCTGGACAGTGTTATTTTGTCACATTTACAAACAAAGTCACTCCACTCGTGGGCGAAGAGCCCTTTGTTCACTTTCTGCTCTCCCAATAGTACACCTTACAAAATGAAAAATGCTTTACTTTCATTCTGACATATCCTTAAACCTTGATATTTGTAATACCAGAACAATGACATCAAAACACATGACATCTTCACATGATTGTATGTTTTAAATGCAACATTTATGGAACCTCTACCCAGTTGAGGTGAAGTGAGATTGCTGAACTCAATTCTAATTCACATTGTTTTAAACTATTTTATATTAAAATGGTTTTAATCCTTTCAGTTTCTGGTTTTCATTCCTATTGTCAGTAGGAAAAAAAAGAAAATAAGTCGCAACCTCAACTCTAAATCATTGACAAAGCCATTCTGTTGTTTTCCCCAACACATTAATTACAGCAGCTTGGTGTTCCTAATGCTTGAAAATAGGTCTGTGTTGTGTCTTTGTTGGTTAGTTAGCACATCCCATGTACAGAAGCTGCCGAGATGGCTTATAATCCGACCTGTGGCTCCTTTCCTACATGTCATTCCCGACTCCTTCCCTGATTTCTGACTCTGTCCACTGCCCTGTCTTTCCAATTATGACATACAAATCACAAACATAAATCACATGCAGAACTGATACTAGTAGAGTATATATCATCAATTGAAGGTCGGACTGCTGCCTTATTGGACGAGTTAGGTCAGCTGGGTTGGTCAAGTGCCATACACTTATGGTGTTATGTCTTTCAACTATTTTATTTTTGTATTAAAGCTTAACACCCTTATTTTTTTGTATTATTGTTCCATAATGTTTATATGAACTGTAATCTATTTGTGTGGTGTAATGTTTGCAGACCACCTGCCAGAAAAAAAAAAATCCTTTTAAGAACTATAATCTACTTTGAACTGAATTTATACATATGGTAACTGTCAAATAAAAATGAAAGCAGTTAATGCAGGAAAAGAAAGGTGTAATGAGATTACTGTAATCTGAACAGTTTTTAGCCAGTTTATTTCCAAACAAAAACCAGCAGATACTTGTTTTCACACTGCGACCAGTTTGGCTCCTATTGACTCTCTGTGGATAGAGACTGTAGTTCCAGCTTCCACTTCAAGCTAAAGAAACTCAAAGTGAAGCACCAGCAAGCATCCACTATATTTCTAGTTTTCTTTCTAGGTTCAAAGCTTTATTTTAGATAAGATACCTGAACATTTTCTCCCTGAGTGAAAAAAACAAACTAATTCACACATGAATTCACACTTAACACATGGGACCATCTTTACATATTGTCAACCAATTAAACTCCAGACCGACGTTTGCTCAGCAGCAAAGTGCTGAAGACAATGTTGTGATTCCTAGAATGGTGTTAAAGTAGAAATATACATTGCATTTCTTTAAATTACACCCTACATCAGAAAGTCAGGTTTATTGTTAATTACTGCATCATTCAGAGGATTCAGATAAGAGCCTGGGAGATATATCATTCATCCACTTTTCCTGAATCTGATGACATGGGAGATTTAGAAAGGTTTTTATAAACATGATTATGTAGCTTATGGGAATACTTAAGATTTGAAGCTAAATGTTTTGGGGCTTCGAATGTTAACGTGCATAAAACGTTATGTTCAACTCACAGGGCAGAAACGGAACAACTTTCCAGAAAAGTTTTGACTACAATTGAACCAAATATAAATTCTGTATTATGGAAAAAAAAATGTAATAAACTTTTTTGGAGAATATTAAATCACCTTACATGTAAACCATTTAAACACTTTTTTTGAAGCCTACATTCATAATAACAGTTATGTGGGTAAAAATCATAATTTTTCTTTGATGATGAGTTTCCACATGATGGTCTGGTAATTTTTCTCCTGTCCAAACAGCCTTGAGACTTCTTATACATCTTGAATTTGGTTCTCCATTTACTGCGTGTAATGCACCAACCTGCTGTCCTTACTGCTCCCTGCTGTGTTTGATATGCTGCCGGAGTCTGAAATTGTGGCTGTCTTCGGTGCATACTGATATATGTTCTCCTGTTTGTGTTTCTGTGTGTGTGTGTGTGTGTGTGTGTGTGTGTGTGTGTGTGTGTATGTGTGTGTGTGTGTGTGTGTGTGTGTGTGTGTGTGTGTGTGTGTGTGTGTGTGTGCCTGCCACTTTAGATGATGTGTTGGCGAGGGATGCCGGTGAGTGTGTGATTTGTCTAGAGGAACTGCAGCAAGGGGACACCATAGCCAGACTGCCGTGCCTCTGCATCTACCACAAAAGGTGACACACACACACACACACACACACACACACATGCTCACACACACACGCTCACACACACAATCACACACATACAGAAATGAATCATTGCCTGTTATATAATGTTGCACTTCTTTTAATTAAATCTACTTCCTGCATGGCAATACAAATTTTCCTTAAAGATGGACATTGCTTGTTGACTTTGAATTAGAGGTTGTTTTTGTATTATCATTGGACAATAACAGAGCTGTGTGGTGCAGTTTTTAAACATTCCCAGTCAGGTAAACTATCTGTCGTCTTTTAAAGAAGAATCATGAACAAATGTGAACAGGCTAAAGACACCTGAAAGGCTGCTAGTGTTTAGTTGAGTGGGTATTACCCATGAGTCTTAGCGCTTTCTCAGACAAAAGGATATTGCTTCATTTAGTTTTTTTTCCTTTCTATGTAATTCATATTTTGAATATAGGCTATTTATAATGTTTACATATTAAATGTACACTTTAATTAACAGAACATTTTTGCTGTTCACGTCTGCGTTTGCTTTCCATCACGTGAACTTTTTATCTCTCCACAAACAGCACCCTCTTCCTGTTTTGTGCCATAAAGCAGATCAGCTGATTTCCATCCCAGTTTAACTCAATGTTTTAATAAAACTCACAGATACTTTTTTTAATGTAGAACATTAAAAACACAGGTGCAAATCATAGTTTAATTCACAAAGGAAAAATAATAGCATTAGACATTTAAATATAGAACACAGAGAAACATGAGCCATCATTTCTACTGAACTTTATTTTTTGAGATGAAGTAATGCATTGATTGGACTTTACAGTTACATGACTGATAACTTCTTTCCAGTCTTTTATTTGCAGCAACATTAGCATTAAAATTAGCATCCAGGATTCCGATGAAGCAGTTCTTCCAAACCATTTTCTGCCTGAAGATAACAATACTGGTTCAAAAATAGTATCAACTAAATACAACTGTGAAGTGCTTAAGCATGTATAATGTAGACTTTAACTTGTACCTTAAAACAATGTAAAAACATGGATTTATTCTTAATAGAACTTGTACAGGAATAAATCGTACACAGACTTTTTTCTATATATTAGAATGTATACTATTGTTAATACAATACCACAGTTCTTTCAAGGACTTCTTTAAATTGAAATACTTCAAGTTTGCTTTATTTGTTTTCTGTATTTCTCTGTAATTTAACTTAACCTACATTTTAAAACGCATACACCCCTTATAGATGTGTGCATATTACGGCACTGTATTATTATTGCTTTTATTTCGATTGCTATTTCACTGAGGTAAAAGAGTTTCCTCTGATACTCACAAGAAGAATCACAAGAATCACAGAAATTGGGTGAGAATGTGGAGGTACATTTGAGTGTGCTGTAACACTGCTGTTATGTTTCCTCTCGGTCTCAATTATATATTGTATATTGTCTCTTCTGCTGTTGTGGGAGTGCATGGAAACCTTCCAACTTGCCCACTTGTTACTTTAGCAACAATCCTCTGTAGTAGGCCTACTGAATTATTTAAGATAACTGTACAATTCAAGTGTTATCCTATGAAATGTCTTGCATTATCAAATTGATGTTCATTTGTTAAATTCCGGGCTGATGACCTTTTGAGTTCATGATGTAAATCTTTGAATGGCTTTAATATACACACACAATATCCTCTGTATTAGCAGCTGCATTATATGTGCATGTGGTCTGACAACGTGTTCGTGTGTTTGTGTGTTCCTCCAGCTGTATAGACTCGTGGTTTGAGATCAATCGGTCCTGCCCTGAACACCCCTCTGACTGACTGACCACCAGGCCCATTATGAACACTGTTCAAGGTGAGAAAAAGAACACACACACACACTTCAGTCTGAAAGCTGATTATTGCCACATATGTATGACTGTGTGATATGTGAGACTGTAAACTTCCTTCAATGACATAACAGATTTAATGTATTTAACTGAGTACAGAATCATTTGAGAAGGACAAAACTGATAATTGGTAGAAAATGTTCCGCAGTCATAAACAATTTAGTTTGCCTGAGGGCACTTGCTCGCGCTGCGACCAGCAGCAGGTCACGTTGTAGTTCAGTTGATAAAAACATTAAAAAAAACGACTTTAAATACAACAAATGTGCTGCCATCG